AAGATCTCTATGAGTCAGAGTTAACTTGATGGCACATGACAACAAGAATGTATCTAAAGAAAATCAAGGAAATAACACAAAATTCAGGATAATGGTTATATCTGGAGCATAGGAAGAGGGATTATGTTCAAACAAAGGACATAAGTTTATATAATCTTTTATGTGTGTGATTTTATTTTGTATTTTCTAAAAAATACAAAAATTTCCCCAACTTCACTCCTAATAAAAATACAAATTAAACTGTATTGAGATCTTCTGGGGCTCTCTCTGTCATCAGGAGAGGAGAGCTGGAGGCGAAGTAGAGCATGCCGGCAGAGTGGGGTACATGTAGGTATACCTATCAACAGAGCTAAAAGAGCTTTGTAACGCTTGTCCAAGCAGGGCAAGGGCCAGGCAGAGAGGCCAAGGGCCAGAGTGGTATGCCTGAGGGTATAACAGAGGGGAGACTGTCCTGATTAAAGAACAGTATCCTGAGTGTGTTCCTGAACCTGATTGTAACCTGTTAGTTTCCTAATAAACTCCATAATCGTGGGTATTGTCTGTGAGTTCTGTGTGGCCATTGCAACAAATTATTTAACCCGGTGAGTAGTGAGTGCTGAGGGAGGAACAGTTGGTATCAGAATTGGTAAAAAGGGGTTGGAGGGTGGCGGGATGTCTGGTCTCGTAGGAATAAGGCTTGGGCTGCCGAAGATCCTGTCTCTCTCTTGTGAAGTTAGAGGAGGTCAGAAGATATTGCCTCCATGCCCTTTTTGCACTTGGCATCACAAGTGGGATTCATTACAATGGCTCCAGGGTCATAAAAACAAACAAACAAAACCTATACCAAGATCTTCTTAAAGCCAAATAATAGTTTAGGTTAACTAATAAAGAATGTCTGTCTTGATCATAGTGCTCTTTTAAGGACTATCTCTCTAAGGTCAGATTGACAGCTGAAACTCAAAAGATCAGAACATTGAGGGCAGTGAGTTTGTATTAATTGAGGAGGAGCAACTCAGCAAAGGAGAGTGAGAATCATTACACAACTTGAAGAATGTAATTAATGTCACTGAATTGTATGTGTAGAAACTCGAACTGGTGTATGTTCAACCATCTAGATTGCTTCCATTTTTTGTTATTATAAAAAATGTTGCAGACAATCACCTTGAATGTTCATCATTTTTCACTGTATATCTATCTGTAGGATAACAACAACAAAATAAAATATAAAACAACAACAACAAAACTCCTATATTGAGATACCAATTTTGATCTAACAGATTGATGAAGATACAAAAGTGTGATTACATACTGAATTGGTAAGACTGAGGAAACAAGCTGTCATCCATTGCTGGTGGGAATATAAATTACTACAACTTCTATTGAGGGCAATATAGCAACATTTATCAAAATTACAAATGTATATATCTTCCAGCTCAGCAATTCCATGTCTAGAATATATCCTATAGATACACAGTGAAAAATGACATGTATTCAAGGTGATTATTCACATCATTGTTTACAATAACAAAAGGATGGAAGCAACCTAAATGGTTATCAATAGAGGCCACACTATGGACTGTTCTATGAAAAAGAATATGGAGGCTCTTGGTAACACTGTTTTGAAAATATCTTCAATTTAAGTGAAAAAAAAAAAAGTAGAATGCAGAGGGTGTGCATACTCTGATTCTTTATGTGTAAAAGAGTGGAAAATAGACATTTTTGTTTTTATATGCATAAAATATCTTCTTGAAGAATATAGAGGAAAGTCATAACACTGGTGGCTTGTAGAATGTAATTTGAGTGCTTGGGAGATAACGGAGGACAGGAGAATTTTCAGTATATACCTTTTTATTTTTATGTCAATGTATTTGTGTAATATATATATGTAATAAGCTCTGATAGCGTAGTGCCTAAGGCACTTGACTGCTAACCAGAAGGCTGGCAGTTCAAACCCACCAGCCACTCCTTGGAAGGAAGATGGGGCAATCTACTTCCATAGTGATACTGCCTCGGAAACCCAAGGAGGGGTTGCTGTGAGTCGGATCCGACTGGACGGCACATAACAACATACACATGGTTTAAAATCAGGAAGGGTGTGTGTCAGGGTTGTGTCCTTTCACCATACTTATTCTATATAAGTATACTTATTTGTTGAGTTTATATGCTGAACAAATAATCCAAGAAACTGGACTATATGAAAAAGAATGTGGCGTCAGGTATAACAGTCTGCTATAAGCAGATAACAACCTTGGCTGCTGAAAATTAAGATGACTTGAATCACTTACTGATGAAAATTAAAGACTACAGACTGCCGTATAGATTACACCTCAAAGTGAAGAAAATGAAAATCCTTACAACTGGACCAATAAGCAGCATCATGAAAAATAGAGAAAAGATTGAAGTTGTCAAGGATTTCATTTTACTTGAATCCACAATCAACACTCATTGAAGCAGTAGTCAAGATATCAGACATCATATTACACTGGGCAAATCTGCTGCAAAAGACTCTTTAAAATGTTGAAGAGCGAAGATGTCGCTTTGAGGACAGAGGTGCACCTAACCCAAACCATGCTATTTTCAGTCGACTCATATACATGTGAAAGCTGGACAATAATGAATAAGGAAGACCGAAAAAGAGTTAATGCTTTTGAATTGTGCTGTTGGTGAAGAGTACTGAAAATATCGTGGACTGCTAGAAGAACTAACACATCTGCCCTAGAAGGAAGTGCAGCTGGAATTCTCCTTGGAAGTGAGAACGGCCAGACTTGTCTCACCAGCTTTGGTCATGATGTCAGAAGGGACCATTCCCTGGAGAAAAATAACAGGCTTGGTAAAGTGAGGGTCAGTGAAAAAGGGGAAAACCCTCAACAAGATGGATGGTACATGGCAGGGCAGTGTTTTGTTCTATTGTACCCAGGGTTGCTGTGAATTGGAGCTGACTCAGTGGCACCTAACAATAATAGCAATACATATTTTATAATTTAAAAGGAAAGAAGAACAATCAGCCCTTTAAGAATGTGACCAAATGCCCCATTGACAAGATCTTAACCTTCACTGATTATTACATACTGCTTTATGATTCCAATGTTTTTGTCATAGTTTATTAATGTATGTTTATTGAGAGAATAGTGCTTTATACATCTTTATTCATATACCTGTGGTGTCCATGGTCTAATGCTTTTTGTGCAGTTGCAATTCATATTGTTGTTGTGTTGTTGTTATATGACGTCAAGTTGGATGCAATTCATATATATTGATTTAATTTTACTTACTGATAATGCTTTGTACTTGTGTAGCTTTGTATTATTTTATTTGATCCTGAGAATAATCCTGTAAAATAGGCTTTTATTTGTATGTGAGATATTCTATGTCTCTTTGTTTTCAAATAAGGATGTATAGTTTGGCTAATATTTTAACTTTAAGTAATTTGTTCCATAGCTTTATGTTATTCAGTGATACATGCTGGGTATATTGAGCATGAGATTAGAAGACATGACCCATAAGGTCCTTTTCAGTTCTATATTGATGAACAATTGAATGACTGAATACATTTTACTTGTAGGTTTATGCATTTTAAATTCCTCTTCTAAGTGAACCCACTGTCCCAAACCCCCTGTCTTATCTGGTGATCCATATTAAACTCAAATTCAGTTATTAATGACTGTGACCTTTTTTTCTTTTTTCTTTATTTTATTGTGATTTGGGTGAAGATTTACAGAGCAAATTTCACTTTCCATACAACAGTTCACATATACTTGATCTCATGTCATTGACCACAGTTTACCACAATGCAACAGCTCCCCTCCCATTTCCTCCCCATACCTCTTCCCAGTGTCCATCCCTCCATACTCTCCTGCCCCCTGAGCTGTCTCCCTGTGTGTGCATAAGCAGCCTTCTTTCTCCCTTGATTGTTCTTTCCAAGGAGTGTATCTACTTGAGGTAAATGTTTAACTCATATGCCTGTATTTTGTTTGGCTGGAAACCACAGGTGTGGGTTCAATTCCAGACCTGAAGGGCAGCTAGGGGCCATAGTCTCAGTGGTTCCACCAGGCTCTATCAGGTCCCCACCTTTTTTTTTTTTTTTTCCAAATGATTTTGAGTTTTGTTCCACATTGTTCTCCCTCTCTATCATGGATGTCCTACATAGATCCCCTTCCAAGTGGATAACAGTGGTAGCCGGGCACCATCTAGTTCTTCTGGTCTCATAGTTGTATAGGCTACAGATCGGATAGTGTACCAGTCGCTAGGACTAATTGTTTCCATGAATTTTGGTTTTCTTCATTCTTTGCTCTGGACGAGGAGAGACCCATCGTTGTATCTAGATGAATGCCTGTGACCTTTTGATTAACAAGATAGATTCATAGGCTGTTGTCAAACAGTTCAGTGGATTTGTCAATTAAGTCCATTTAGCTAAGTGAATGAAAAATTTAGTCAATACTTCATAATTTTTCCTTGCATTTCCTTCTATTCTTTGCTTCATTTGGTTATTAAATTTCACTTAACATAATGCTTTGCCATTTTCTTTCCAGATGTTAAATCTGAAAATGCTGTTAAGGATTTCAGTTCTTTGTGCAGTATCTTTTTAACATCAGTGTGTATAAGGTGGGAAAGAGAAAGGAAATGAGGGTGTTACAGAGCTATAGCAACCTAAAGCAAAAGGCCCAAAACATTTCCTCATCATTTCTTGTTGCCAGGAAATAATGAAGAACAACCACTCAGTGCAGTGAATGAATGAATGAATGTGCTGCTCTGAACTGTAAATCTTAAAATCTATAAAGCTAGGTCCTATCTTCAACTCTTCGGAAGGAAGATTGGGCAATCTACTTCTGTAGTCATACTGCCTCAGAAACCCAAGGAGGGGTCTCTATGAGTCAGATCCCACTCTATGGCAGTGTTATTATCAACTGGTCTTGGCTGTTTTCCATGTAGGGAATAATTGTGTTTTTGTACTTTGCATTTGCATATGCTAACTCCTCTGCTTGCTGTAGTCCAGTGAGTTAACCCCATGTTCTTTCCCACAGAGTTGAGAATGCTTGCACCAAGCTTGTTCAGGCAGCCCAGATGCTTCAGTCAGACCCTTACTCAGTGCCAGCTCGAGATTATCTAATCGATGGATCAAGAGGCATTCTTTCTGGCACATCAGACCTGCTCCTTACATTCGATGAGGCTGAGGTAGGCAGTCTGAATCTATGCTGGTTTTCTGCCTCACTAGCCAGCAGGGGGTGTTGGGCTTGAAAGCTGAACATGAGCCTGGGCAACCCAGGCAGGTTTAGAAGAACTTACATGCCTTTTTTAGGTCTCTCTCAAGAAACATTTGGAGGTATAATCCTTGGCTTCTTATTTCCTAATAAAATATGGTTGTGATATTTGCAACCCAGCCATTATGATGAGAGGTAGATGAACTAATTGTAGATATCCCCTGCAACAAAAAGCTCAGTCTTAAAGATAACAGTGGAAGATTGATGTTTGTTTAGGATAAGAGAATGTTGAATAACTACATACCTACATTATCATGTTTTCCACTAATTGCCCATTCAGTTGACTGAATACTCTGAAACAAATTTGCAGGTTCGTAAAATTATTAGAGTATGCAAAGGAATTTTGGAATATCTTACAGTGGCAGAAGTGGTGGAAACTATGGAAGATTTGGTCACTTATACAAAGAATCTTGGACCAGGTTAGTTATATCTTGATTTTTCTAGTATACTGTTAATGTATTGTCCATGTTTGATTGTATAGGGGACTCCTCCTGTGTGCTTCCCTGCAACACCACGGCAGTTTTTGCAGAAGCTAAGTAGTAATGCATTGGATTTCAGGTGTCTACTCTGCTGATAGAGCTGACACAGTACTTCTAATGAGGCAATGCCATTGTCTCTGAGAGCTGAATCTGCTTTCTCCAAATCCTGGCTTGTCTACTGAATTAAAGCAGACATTGCAAATGTTACTGGAGAATGTAGGAAATACTTTTCTATTACTGTAATGCTGTAGGCTACCCTGAATTCTGACCTCTTCATTCCACATTCCACAGCATCCCTTCACTGTCTGCCAGCTGGCCTGTAGCTCTTTATGACCTCTTAGCTTGCTAATTAGTCCGCCTACTAGAATGGATTCATGCCCTATCCCAAGACTGTATAATATGATCAGACCTAGAAGGAGAGAACACCGTTGTGGTTAAATCTCATTTGGAAATGATTGCTTAGAGTTCTGAAAATTAAATAATCAAAATACATGAGCAGATAACTAGCTTTTGATATTATAAACTTATAACCTGAACTTGAGGGTCCTTAAAGTATGAATAAGACCAATGACAAGACACGTGAGATATTTAACTTGTCAGTATTAAAAATCATAATACCTTATAAAATTCTTTTAACAGAAATTAAACTTGTCCTTGTAAGGACTTGTCTTAAGTGAAATGTTGGTTTTTAATTAATGGTATTTTCATGAGGTTCCAGTGCAGTGTTCTATAAACTTAATGGCAGTTGAGAATTTCTGAGTCATCATAAGGATCATTAGGAAATGATCTCCTTGTTAGCTTTCGAACAGTGTTCTCTAAATTCTTATAACAGTGGAAAATAATTTTTTCCCCAAAATTTTACATAGCATCCCAACATATGAAAGACAAAAACAGAGCCACTTTGGGTGAAGCAGGGGCCACTCCACCTTTTCTGCCTCCCTTTGGTATATCCCTTGGTGATCTGTGAGACAACTTGAGAAATCCTAGGAGCAATTTGATAATCAGAGTTTTAGAGAATCACACAGCTCTTCTGAATAATAACCAACGTAAACAGAAAGTGCTGGTAGGCTGATTCCAAAATACCAGATGCTTTCAAACACCGTCATTGCCATAATTATTTTTATAATATTTCTATTTGTTTCTAATTTTAAAAGTAGTACATGCTTATTTTGGAGAAACTGGAAAGTACAGGAAAAATATGAAGATGAAAATAAAACACATCATTTTAATTCTTAAGGCTTTTTTTCAGATGCCAGATTCTTAGTACGAGGTTCGCATGAGATTCTTACACAGCATAAGCATAGTGCCCAGATATGTGTCATTAAACCTGCACCACTGGTAGCCTGGCACAATTTTTTTCCCTGGCTTATAAATTTTTTTAAAAATATATTTATATAGTTCAATATTTTTTTCAATTGTGAATGTATTTATATCAGACATAAAATTCATATCACATTAAGGATTTACATTGAATAGATTTCTTTGATTGAAAAGAATAAAACTGTATTGTGAGAACTGCCCCAAAAATTCTGTATTATAAGTGCTAAAGTTATAATAATATCTGTCCTTTTAATAAGTGGACAGTTTAGACTTTCATAGTAATTGATAGTAGATTTAGGTTGAGAAAAGCTAGAACCCTGCCTGGATTGGTACACTCCTCACCCTGCACAATTTATCCTTTATGCACAAGGAATGACAAAGATGGCCAAGATGATTGACGAGAGACAGCAGGAGCTCACCCACCAAGAACACCGAGTGATGTTGGTGAACTCAATGAACACGGTCAAAGAGTTGCTGCCAGTTCTCATTTCAGGTATTCCCTGCCTCTGCTTTATTTTACAAGGAAAAATGTTAACATGTTCTAAACTCTGAGTTCATTTTCTTTTGCTGTGTCATTGCGTGCCTTTCAACCTGGGTAAAAGTAAGATATGGCTAATTGGATTTCATATGATGCTGGTGGCCGGCCGATGGGCTGAGAACCAGTAGTCATCTTTGGCAACGCTCTCCTGCTCCTGCTCTGTATTTGAAACTTTTCTTCTTTGGCCCAGTTCTTTTCTGAAGCTCTAACAGGTCCTCTTCCTGGAATTACCTCTAGAAATTCTGGTCTTGGATGTATGAATTTTGATACCTTTTTTCCGTATTACAGAAAATAGGAGCTGGAATGATCAATCACTGCGATAAAGAAGTGAACGAGAGTGGTTTTCAATATTGTGTTAACACAATTTTACCTAAAAGATATTTAACAGTTCTCTACATTATGACTAGATCAGTTCCTTAGTCACCAACTGGGAGCACCTTTCCAGAAATGCAAACATGGTGGCTGCTCTCTCAATTAGTGAAAGGAAATTGAACCTACTAAATGTTTAGTACATGCCAGATAGCTCATGGTTTACATGCGTTACTCGAGCTATGGATAAATTAGCTTAATTCCCAGAGGGCAGTCTTATTTTTGAGGCACGTCATGGTGACCCCCTGCTACTACTTACCTGCTTTGACTTTTAAGATAGTAGCTAAAAAAGGAGATGTGAGTGTAAGAGTTCAGAAAGCCCTTGCATGAATCAAAAAACAAAATTTTGTAAATAGAGTATTATGATTGCCATGGAAATATGTTTCGAAGCCAACTTTTGTATATGGGAGAAGGGTTGTTGGGAAGAAAGGGTCTTTCTAACCTGGGTTATTAAAGTGTTAATCTGCATTTTTAAATTTTTAATTATTTTAGGGAAATACATTCTCTTTCTTCACTGCTTCATATTATTTCTTTTTTTTCATTTGTTTGGGGATTAGAAAATCACTGCTACATGTTGAGAGGAATCCTGGAAGATAAATTCTACACCTTGGGATCTTCCTTGGGATTGAGGACAGCAGGATGCTCCATTCACAGTTTCACTGACTATTTTCATTTTGTCTAATCTGTTTACATTGGATGGGGCCAGTGGTTGGACCAAGATGATAAATGATTTAGGAGAAGTTTGGATATTTTGTGATTCTAAGTAGTCAGTATGTGTGTGTTGAATTAGTTCCCTAATCATGTTAAGTGATATTTTGTACCTTGAGTTTTCCTTTACAATGAAGATTGTTGATATTGGAATGTTATTGGCAGACTTGGAAGTATTTGTTTTGTATATTCCTAAGACTATGAAACCCAAAGTGCGTGCTGAAAGCATAGATGGGGCATCTTGTGCGGATAATGTTACACAGCAAAATTAAATTCCAAGCTTAGTTTTTCTTCTTTCATTTATTTTTATAGCTATGAAGATTTTTGTAACAACTAAAAATTCAAAAAACCAAGGCATAGAAGAAGCTTTGAAAAATCGTAATTTCACTGTAGAAAAAATGAGTGCTGAAATTAATGAGATCATTCGTGTATTGCAACTCACTTCTTGGGACGAAGATGCCTGGGCGAGCAAGGTGAGTGTCTGCAAAAACGGCGAGGAGGTCACATGTTCTGACCTCCTCTAACCCTATAAGGGGAAGGCAGGATTACCAGCAGTAAACCAAGGCCTATTACTGCAAGGCCAGACATGCTGCCTCCCTCCAGCCCTTTCACCAACCGTTCCTCCCAAAGCACCCACCACCTCTCTCCTGGGTTCGATAATTCACTGCAGTGGCCACACAGAACTCACAGATTATGGGGTTTATTAGGGAAGCACCAGGCTACAACTCAAGTTCAGGAAGAACGCTCAGTCTCTCTCCCAGCCCAACGTCCCTCAGCCAACAGTCTCTCACAGTCTCTTTCCCAGCAGTGCTGGTCCCTCGGTGTCTCACTCAGCAATGCGTGTCTCTCGCGTCTCTTTCCTAGCAGCACGTGTCTCTTTCAGGGGCGCGTGTCTCTTTCAGCAGCACGTCTTCCTCCACCAGTAGTCAGAGTTCTGCCTCCAGGAGGCCTCCTTTTGAGCCCGGCAGGGTGGTCAAACTAGCCAATCATAGCATCAGAACTCTAAGCACCTGAGAGAGAGTGGGCACCTCCCAGAACATTGTATTGTGCCACACCCAACAGAAATAACCCAGGTGGATAGCTTCAGCAATCAGGGGCTGCTCAGTTGCTCATACAAAATCCCACCTTGGAGTTTACAAAGACTTATGGGTAGAAAAGCCACACTAAGTAATTTACTATACCGCAGTGTCAGTAAAAAGATAAATAAGCACAATCCTAAATTCTACCCTCCTATGGGTTTTGATTGTCATCTGTCTTACATCATGTCTCATAATTGTGTGTAGCATAAGAAACTCAGATATTAAGGAAATAATTTCTTCTTCACTTTTGTTTCATGAGTTACTTGCTGCCTTTGTAAATTTCCTTTCTTACCAAGGTAGATCAGATAGGCATGTGGGATGACTATAAGTTGAAGGCTGAGATCTGTAGCTTTTCCTACAGGCTGGTTGGGCTGGTGGAGAAGTTCTTCTGTGATGATACATACTCCCCTTACAAATGGTTGGGCCAGGAAGCTCTGCCTTATATGTGGGTGATTGTTGCTAATGACTAAGTAAGATGCAGAATACCTCTGTGACTCTGGACTGTATAGAAACTTTTCCTCAGTCAACTTTGGTGCAGAGAAATTGACAAGGAAACTCTTGGCATTTGTAAATATGCCCCTCAATTATTGCATTTTCCATAATGAAAACTTAATTAAAATACTAGTTTTCGTATTCATCAGTTAGTTTGAGGGGCTCCTCCTCTGTCTAGAATCTCTTCTTGGACTCCAGAGGAGTGCTTGGATTCCTTCGTGAGCCTGTCAGCAGTGATTTTGTGTTCTGCTGCTCCTAGTCTGCTTTTCCCCCAATCCTCTGTGAACAAAGCTTTTAGGTCTGGGAGAATAGAGACACTGGAGTTGATACTTTCCTTTTAGGGGTCCAAGATGCAGGCAGTCATGTGAATAAAATGACTCCCCAATCCACCTTCCCCATGTGTGACCCAAATGTTGTCTCCAGGGCCACCGAGCAATCAGAGCTAAAGAGGAGATTTTATAGTATGACTTCATTGGGTGCTCAATATGGGCCATGTTTGTTCTCCAAGAAACCTATAAGGTAAGGTCAAAGTTGGGGCCTAATATCACTAGTCCTCTCTTTTGTTGCTCAGAAAGCTAATAACCTAAATACCTATATAGGCAGAATAAATTAGTCAGCGTATCCTAACAGCAATTTGTTTACAAAGATATTTCATTGACATGAAGTTCTTGAACCTGTTCTAAGACTGTATTTTAAATCTATATGGTAAAGCCTTTGTAAGTCTTTGTTATTTTAGTTAATTCTGCTTTTGCATACTTGACAACTTTCACTTCCCTGTTAAGACTTCTTTATGCATTTTTTCTTTTTTGTTCTCTTGTTTGTTTTATTCTTTTTCTCACGTTTAGAAGGTAAGCTTTCTCTTGCCCTCTAGCTTCTTTTGCTTAAGAAAGAGAATAAGCATGTCTGTGAGGTTTCTTGTGCTGTGTGCCATGCCTTATTCCGTGTGCCAATGTGTAACACTGCTCGACTACGTGTCAAAATGTGATTGAATGTGGGACTCTGAGCTGTGCTGAGCAGGGTGTTTTACTCTGGTTCTAATTGAGCTATTTCTTTGGGAAAAACAAAAGGAAAGACATTACTATGGGCTATCAGGCTTTCAGTATTTGGTGGGTGTGTTCATATTTTGAACAGGGTCCTGAGACCTGTTTTGGCCTGGTCATTTCCACTGACTTCATTTGAGGAATGGGTTTTGCTCTTAGGAAAGGTGACTTCTGACTGATGCCATCCTCTACCAGTTGCCTTTGCAAGCCCTGGAATTTTGCTTTTGGATATTTGTCATTGAGCTTTTAAGCCATACAAAAAGGGAAGGGATAGGCTAGAGAGATTAGGTGAGGCATCTGTCCTTCTTGATAATCCTAGGCTTCATCAGAAAGAAAAAGAAGTAAGGAGGATCTAAACAGTTTCCTAACTTCAATTAATGGCTCACTGCATGCTCTGCTGTCTGTGCTGTGAATCAGCCATGGTTCTCCCTGACCTCATGTTCCCCTAACCTAACAACCTCTTTGCTCATTCTCTCACCTTTGCTTCTGTCATATGAGAAATAATAATAAGAAGGAGCAGGCTTTGCAACCTTAATCTTATTTTTAGAAGGGAAAAGTCATCATTTAGTGCATAAGTGTTATAGAGCTTTATTTTGTGCAAGTGCCATAGAGAGCTGCTGCTTTAAAAAAATATATATATGGTCAGTGGTCAGTTGAGTTTTTCAGGACTAGGATTAGGCGCTTAAGGGGGGAGATACATAGATTTGTAAGAGAGAGAGACCTGTTCTCCACTGTGTAGAGTCTTGGAGCTGTCCCAGTTTTATGCTGATCTGGAGGAGCCAGATTGTTATTAAGCTGAAAAACTCACTTTACCAGCAATGAAAGAAAGTAAAAAAAAGTAAGTTCACGCACACACACAAAAGTGCAATTATATAATGACATCAGTGTAAGCAAGAAATGTTTCTTTTTTCACCTAATTTTGCTTTTGTTGTACATTTACATTATCCGTTTTTACCCGGTTCAAACACCAAAATGCTATAAAAGATATACACTGCAAGTCTTGCTCCCAGCCTTTTCCCCATCTACTCCACACACCCTCACTTCCTGAGAGTAATCACTTTCATTAGTTGCAAGAATAATTACAAAAAATATTTTACCTTTAACATGGGAACTGGTAACTAAAATTCTTTTATTTTTAGTTTAGTAGCAGGATATATCTTTCAGTGTTCAACTATAAGCAGTGAATGAATCAAGGACCTATTATCTGACCTCTGGGTTCCCCTTCTGTTTGTTGCATATAGTATTTTTCACCGCCTTTTGCCCCTACCAATAAATAATTAATTTTTGTCTTACCATACTTGTTTCATGCTTCCCCATTGGTGCAGTTTTCTTCTGGAAAGTGATGGTTCCTCTAGGAAAGTGGGGCAAGAAAGTAAGTGGAAAAAATTCCTGATAAAAGTTCATCTTGCCAAATAAGTTAAGGTTTTAAAGAGCCAGTTGATCATTTTCGTTTTATCCTACATTCAGAGTGCAGATTTATACGTTTAAAAGTAACTTTGTCTTTAAACCTTTTGTTTTATTTTAAAAATAAAACTTGTGCTTTCCTTAAATCAATAATCATCATATAATGAACATTAAAAATTAATGTAGCCCTTTTCCTGGGAATACCTTACTAAACAAAAGAATTTGTGAGTTAAACAATTGTAATTCTACCTTTTATAAATTCAGCACTCTATGTTTGCAGTTGTATATAAATCTTAATAGTCCTTTTTATTTATATAACTTATATCTTGATGCATATTGAGAATTAAGAGGAAGTGAGAAAAAAAATGATTTTGCTAAGAATTTTTGAACCGCACGTAGGAGCTCTTTCTCCTCTGTGCCTTGAGTCATTAGATACTCTTACTCAGAATTTGTTCCTGCCATAGGCCTCTGTCCACTGTGGTTCCAGGTTAGTGTTGGCTGTAACTGACTCAGATGTCTTATAATGACTACTGTACTTTACCAAAGAAGGAAATAATGCTTGGAACATGCAGTCCTGTAAAACTTTCTCTTACTGCAGACCATTGGGATTTAACAGTTGATTTTTATTTAATTTTGAAAAGGGGTTGTATGTGAGCTTTGTATCATTTAGTGTTTTATTTTAGCAGCTTAGTACTATGAAATATTTCTTTCTATGAGTTTATGATAAATAGTTAATTCATGCATTTATACTTACTTATCTGGTAAAATGTTCAGCTACTAATGAAAAGGTTGATGGTTTAAATAGACTCAGAGACACCTCAGAAGAAAGACCTGGCATTCTACTTCTGAAAGGTCGTGGCCGTAGAAAATCCTATGGAGCACAGTTGTACTCTGAAACACACAGGTTGCCATGAGTTGGCATTGCATTGACATCAACTGTGTTTTTTTTTTTTTTTAATGCCCCCAAGAGGAGAAAGGCCAACAATACCAAAGGAATTGGTATTTCCCTTATCTAAGTGATATTTTAGTTGTAACATCTGCTTGCATGTGTATAGATGGCATAGATTTTTAGAGTTGAGAAAATATCCTTAGAGACGAGGAATTGAGGCCCAGAGAGGATAACTTGCGTGAGGTTTCAGGGCCAGACAACATTGCCTCATCACTGTAAAAGTTTTTTTTCCCCACTGCCCAATATATTCTTTTCAGAAATATCTTAGTTTAAAACATTGATTTGGGGATGAAAATGTGGTCAGAAAAGTGATGGAGTGGGATGGGTTGGGGAAGGGAAGTGTTAGTAGAAGAAGGAACAGAAGGTTGGAAAGTGAAAGAAAAGGAGTCTTTATTCCTCATATTTTGTTTTCTAGAGGCTGGGAGTACAGAATTTTACATCTGTGACTCCAGTTCTTCCTGGTTTTCTGTAGGAAGAACTCAGTGTTATTAGCAGGTATTCCTGAAGCC